GGAAATGAAGGTGCTGAAGATGCTGGAGTGGAAAGGGTCAGATGAGGGCGCAGGGCTTTCAGCGCGTCTTTGGCTCCCGCGATAAGTGGGGAACGACGGATGACGATAGATCTCTTGCCTTTGTACGAGATGTTTGAAGTAGTTTTATTGAAGAATTGGAGAGACAATTTTAAGAAAACTAAGAGAAAGAAAGTCCGAGTCTAGAGGAGATCTCGCAGAGATTTCCTGGTATTGCGTTTACCGCTTTTGTTACGCTGTGCTCTATACAGTCACGTGAGGAGGATCAACTAGAAGTTTTTGATGAAGTTTTGAATTGAAGAGAATTTTTTGGTAAAAAAGTTGGTAGTTTATATAGGTATAGTCTCTGGGATCTAGTATCATGCATCTTTCATCTCATTGAGGTTGAATGGATAGTTAACAGGGGTAGTCACTATAGTAATACAATCATGCCATTTCAGATGTCTGACTTGCAAACTTGAAAAACTACATAGTATATTCTATCTGGAACTTCCTTTCTCTTTCATCCAACTTATGGAATATATAATATTCCTATATATCGTTCTAGGAAATTACGGGACCTCGGAAGATCCAAGCGGTGAATGGTAAAAAGCTCTGCTACTGTGCATACGCATAAACCTTGGTACCATGCAGAGATACTATTATTCGCTTCAAAACTAGAAGAAGCCCAGAAACCAATTTGCCATAGAAAAGCCAATGGATATCATGCAATGCCAAACGCCAGAAACAGAGAAAGGGAAAAAAAAGACAAGAAATAGAGGAATATGAAACGGGGAGAGGGAAAGAATCCAAAGATCAAACGAATGCCAGCTCTCCACTACTGGCTAAAGGAAGACCCCGATCATCGGTACTCTTTAGCGGCCGCGGGGGCTCAGGCGACGACAGCCACCACGGATGATTAGGGCTCTTGTTAGGGGCCTTACGCGACAGATGCTCATCCAGATCTGAGACCATAGACGAGCTTTGCGGCATAGCGTTTTCATCGTTCACTTTCTTAGGCTGAGACTGGCTCTCCAACTGCCGGCCACTGCCCATACTATTCTCACTCCAGAATCGCGGTAGCGGGGAGATAGCACCGCGATATTCTTGTGCAAGACTCAGCTGGCTCTGACCATATGTGCTGCCCTCGGCAAGAGGAAACAGACCGCCCTGATGTAGGCTTTGATATTGGGAGAAGCGGTTGGTGGGGTTGGTGTTGTTGTCATCGCCGTATTCTGATGCTGAGATCGCAGTCGACAAGGGCCGTTCTTGGACCGATTGGCGGAAATCATCGCTAAAGGTTGATACAGAGACGGTGTCGGCGCGGCTGCGCATGCTGCGATTTCGGTCAAGCGCGCGCATGCCCGAGGAAGTGCGTCGGCTGATTTGTGCGGAGAAGAGAGGGTTGGAGGAGTTGCGATGCTTGGCTCGGCTGTGGACAAACGCTTCTAGGGAGTCGGCTTCCGAGTGGGTGGAGTCGTCCGGCTCGACGGTGCGTAGGGTCATGCGCTTGTAGTTTTCGGGAATGCTGGATGCCATGCTGTGGCGCATGCGTGCTGTTGGCGGACGCGGGACCATCATCGCCATGTTGGTCATGCTGGTCTCATCGCTCATCATCGAGGCGCGCGCGTTTTGCCATGATGTCTGCACCACACCGTGGCCGGGAGGTCCGAAACCACCAGCGCCATGGCCGGCTCCGCTGAATCGTACAGGCAGTCCAGAGGCAATGGAGGAGATACCGCTCGAGCGCCTCGAGTATCTCTTCGATTTGGATGAGTGAATAGATTCTCGCCTCATGGTTCGCGGTTGGATTGACTTTAATGGCTCTCGTCGGGACCTGGTCGTGGTCTTACGACGCACGGGGCTGTTCGTATATGAGAGGCGATTGTTTTGCTTCTTGGACGGCGAGACGGGTTGAACTGGTTTGTTCTCTTGGGCAATGGAGTCTCGCAGTGGGGCAAAGCCCCCACGAGTGGGAGAATTGCGAGCAGGAGAACGAGGGGGAATAATGGGCTCGGGGATAGCAAAACTAACTGGGTTCTCCCGTTTATCAAATGATGACACATTCCACGCGGGGCCAAGTTCGAGTTTAGGAATCGATGATGGGGAGATAGGACTCATCCAATCGTCGGAATTGTCATCACGATCACGAGAACGTCTTTCCGTCATGGATGGCTGGCAGATAGGAACATCTGGCCTAACAGGTCGTGGTGGAGCAAGCTTGCCATCAGATGGACCCTCTTCGATTGTGGACGAGCCCTTGCGGCTACGCCAGCAGCAGAAGAGAATAAGCACACTCAGAATTACCACGAATGGGACTACGATCGAGATCGCAATGATCCCAGCCTTCTTGTGGTCAGGGCTTCTAGAATCGGTGAACGAATCGGTGGAGTTCGAATGTGTGTCCGAGGCTTTGAGAACATCGAGAGTGAAGTCCCTCGTGTCTTCAGTCGATCCTTGGTATGCAGTAAGAGGGATGGTGAACTTCCTGGGATCCATATCATCCGGAACGTGTCCGTACAGAGTCTTGTTATCCGGGAAGTAGGTAAGCCACGTGAGGTCGCTGTCTAAATCGACCTCTAGCTGCACAGACTCATCGGTGACGATAGACTGATTGAACACGAACTTGAAATCCTGACCAATGGCTGCCTCGCAGCCATCCACTGTGTCGAGGAACAACTTCAAAAAATCTAGGCGAAGCATCAAGTGCGCTTCATCCTGGAAAGAGTCTATAACGGCAAGAGTGATATTCTGGTTCACGGCATCCTTGGGTGGTATCCCGCTCAACGAGATATTGTCTTCATCAAGCTTCAACCAATCTGGCAATTCAGCATCGACCTTTGCTAGCTCCTTGATAGAGACTGGCGAACCGTCCATAGACAGAAGATCGATAAATTTGGGGCTGTTGAACTCTTCTCCTCTCGTAAGGTCGAAAGTTTGAACAGTCTCGTTGAATGTCAAAATATGAGGACCGATCGAGAGCTCAAAAGTCATGTTGGCCGCACTGTACCCAGCTACATCCGACGCGATCAGCTGGAAAGTAAATGTTTGAGGCCCTGCGCCTGGAAAAGCAGGGCTATTTCCAACAAACTTCAGGGCTGCCGGGTCGAAGCTGATCCAGGAAGGTAGCGGGGCGTTGTTCGGCGAGGTTCCGTAGTAGATCGTAGAAGGATGCGTGTTGCCGAAGGTATCCTGATCGAACTCAATTGAGAATGGACGACCTGGATGGATGAAGAGTCTGGCAGGATAGGAAACCGGTCCCAATCTCTCCAACTGGGGCACAAGCGGTTTGTTTACCGTCGGTCCCTGGTCTGCTGTCACGATCAAAGTAACGTCCATGCTGTCTTTTTCCGATCCGTCCGATGCTACAAGCTTGAACTTGATGGCGCCACTGTCGCCTGGCTGTGGCGTTCCGGACAGAGTGAGACTGTTGCTGTCCACTTCAAGCCATGATGGCGCATTTGATAACGAGTATTTAGTGTCCGCGTCACTGTTAGAGAAAGTACTTTGGGCGAATGCAAATCGGAACGGCTGTGAAATTCGGGCAACAGGTGGCAATTGCGCGTTTATGGGATAATTGGCCGACAAGGCTGCTGCACTGACGACTGACAGGAAAGCCAGTATGACGGTGAAAAAGACCGTCATGATTGAGAAAACGCGAGCACGCTGGGACTGTATATAGCTGGAAAAAAATACAGCTGGCTCATCAATCACCAACGACGCTTCCAATCTCACGGTAAAAGATAGCGAAAGTAATCAAGATGAAAAGAAAGAGAGAATCAGGACGAAGATGAAAGAGTATCACGCATGATCTTCCAAAAAAGGATCCTGGTCCCTCTCGCACTAAAGGGACCAGGGAGACATTCAAGGCGTGCCCTTTCAAAAAAGCCATGCCTGGATATGTTAAATAGCACGGAAGTATGTAGCAGAATGATAGCGGAGAATGGACGTAGACGCGATCGCTATAATCTCACGTTTTCGAAGACGCCCGGTCCATGCAAGGGGTAGTCACAGGTGGCTCCTGCGACAGCCAAGGAGCGTGGACGCGCCCAACCATCATGACTTCTTGCCCCTCGCACCTATTTGAAAAGGGACCGATAAGGCAAGGAGCATTTTTATGGAGAGGAAAAAGGCCCGAAGGGTGCAGCATTGACGACAGTGGCTCAAACTGTCAAGCTTCTAAATCTAGGACCATTTTGATACCTGTTCGTCCAGGGGCATAGTAATCAGGGATGACTTCACGCTCCTCGAATCCAATGCCGAGATACAAGGCGCGTGCAGGCTCCCTGGCCTGGTCCACCCAGAGTTGAATATACTGGCAACCCTCCTTTCGTAGGCGCTGCTGAATGTAGGACAGCACCTCCTGGCCAACACCTTGACGGCGGTTAGGCTCTGTCACACAGATTTTGTGCAAAAGTGCAACACCCTTCTGTCGGACATAGACCGCGTAGGCAATCAGATCGGATTGCGATCCCTTCGCTCGAGTTGCGTACAAGACTCTCGTGTTGGGCTTTTTTCTCCACAGGTCTTCGCCAAAAGGGAATGCTTCATTGGTGGGGAAGGTCTTTTTCTCGACGCGTGAAATCTGGGCAAGAATCTCCAGTGCCTCGTTCCTCTTCAAGGAATGAATGTCCGAGATAGTGAGGGGCATACCTCCCATTCCTTTCTCGTATTGAAGTGTCATTCCAAATCACGGCTTTTAACACTGCTCTAAGTATTTGACACTGTAACTGTATCAGTTTATGTCAGTTGCTAGTTGCTAATTGTCAACTTAAGTTGATGTGTAAATGGTGAATTCCCTTTTCGAGTTAGTTTTACTGGTCTAACTGTTTTTAGTTTAGCGTAGCCTCCATTGTATAAGAACGGTCTACATAGTGGACAATCTTCATCTATGCTCTATGCACATTATACAAGAAGTTGACTTTTTTTTGTCATTGGTAAATCACAGCCACGTATCTCACAAAGCACCTGGATACACACGTAGTTGACCTCCCTAGGCCAAATCACATAATAACCGTGATCGGTTCGCGTTCAATATCCCACAATCCCCCGTTAATGCATGCATTTACAAGCAGGGACTTGGCTTTGATATCAGGGCGAAAAACCGCCTGCACGAACCCTTTGACTACCATCAAAAGATTGAAAAACCCCCCACCCACAGCCTCAATGCGCTCCATAGCCTCCTGAAGAGCATCATAGTGCAAAAATTCAATTCCATAATTCTCAAGAGAGCACCCGAAGACGTGCAGATGAGGAGGTTCCCTCCATATCTGATTTAACAAATGCCGGCAACCCCTGAGAGAGTCGCGATGTGTGTATGGTGGTGTGTGAGTGATGAGAATGTCCATATTGTCGGGAATTCGGTCCCAAATGTTATCACACTCGGGGTACTGGAAGGCCGAGGAAGGAATAGTCATTGGTGAATATGGGCTTCCATAGATGCGAAGTCGGCGTCCGTTAAAACAGGTCAAAATCACATACTGGTGCTCCAGGTAGATGATGTTGCCCCAGTATGCCCTCTCAAGATCGCCAAGTCTCCAGCGACGTATTCCCCTCTTCATTTTATCAAGATATCGGTCAGATGTACCCGCTACAACAATCTTGACGGGGTGCGGCTGGGCCTGTAGCCAGTTCAGAGTGATCTGGAGCTCGGCGAGCGATCCGTCTGATGTCAGATCACCGGCGTGGATCAAAATGTCGCCTCTGGGGATATTTGGTCGCTGTCTGTAGGTGTTTGATATGCAGACTATAGACACGGGGTTCTCAGGCAGCTGAGGGAGGTTGATTGGTCTCCAGGCGTAGAGCTTGCGGGCGAGGAAGAGACAAGGTCGATTTCGGAACTGCTGCCAGGCCGATGGCGGCGCCGGTGGTGGAATGATGTATGACGAGTTGTCGCTGAGTGCAGTCATTCTGAAAGACATGGTGATAGATCTCAGCCAACGGGGCCGTAGATGACGATGATTGCAGTAAATGCGAGTGCAAGAGAAAGAGTTGAAGTATGGTGTTTACAGGCTGACTTGCTTGTCTTTCGCTTTCTCTATACTCATTTTTCCTTGATTAGTTGGGGTCGCCGTTCGCTTTGCGCTGATGTCGTTACATTTTTTCCCGTCTGTGCTCGTAATTCTCACCTAGCCTCATGGCTAAACATGGTAAAGACAAGTGGAGGATTTTGTAGGCTACACTGAGTTGGGTTGTATTCAGAACTTCAAGTGGAAGCTCGATTGAATAGAAAGATAGCGGTAGGTATAGAAAGATGAAGAACTCGAGCGAAAGGTAATACCCGTCGCATAAACCAACGCAGCTTGAACCATGCAAATATAAGAAAAGGTCAAAGGGAAAAGACAGTAGGAAAAAATAGTTGCCACAAGGGAATGGCTTTTAGAGCTGCCTGCATATGGTATATCCATACACCGAAGCCCAAAATCAAAGGTCACCAAAAAGGTATAAAACGTGCACATATATATTCATAACCACATAACGCCGAATAAAGAAAATAACCAATTTAATCAACACTCCAATGCACGACTCGTTTGACACGAATAGCCATAGGATCCATATTTTCCTCACCACTAACCCTCTCTTTACGATCTATCTCTACCCGAGTCTGGATCGACGTAAGAGGATCCAGGTCTTCATCTGGGTGGAAGGGCGTAGGACTCGATCTGCATTGCATATCGTATTTGTCGTTTTCACGATCATGGAGAGATACTCTCTGTATAAAACTAGACAGTACACGCGACTCTCCGAAATGCGTGCGCGGTAAGTTAGGCATTTTCCTGACCATTGAGCGCACAAAGGGCTGTAGGACAGGGAGACAGGCACAGATGATCCCGATGCATGGCTCGATGGTGGACCACACGGATACACTGCCTAAGGCCCATGTGATATCGACATTGCCTTTGAGGTAAGTTAGGTAGTGGATTCGAATACCGCTTGCGATACAGACACTACATAGTCGTGTTAGTATTGACTCTTGGAGGTTGATTCGAAGACACATACAATCCACCTAGAAGAAGCATAGCGCATACTCCAAGCTTTTGTGTTGTCCGCATCTGAAGTTTCCAGACAATAGGCATTGGAACGAGGAGAATAAGAACGTCCGTCACGACATTGGCAGCCGCATTCCCAATGTAGTAGTAGTAGAAATCATAGCGGTATGAGCCAGATGTAGGATCGGTGATTTCGGACCAGAAATATGAAATTGGATCACAGGCGCACAGGGCTGCAATCATGCTTCCTATGCACCAGCCATAGGAGATCACAAGAGTGGACCAGATCATCCAGTTCATGCCGAAGATTCGCCGATAGAACATCAGGATTGAGAATTTGATTAGGAGAAGCTCGGCGAGATAGACAATGAGATAGGCAAAGAGGATCTATACTGTTTAGTCAGAGTTAGGTCTGGGATATATGATTTTGTTCATACCTTTTTCATTATAACCATGTTGGGTACTGTTACACACCAGACATGTAGCCCAAAGCCATATTTACCACCTGATGTTGATACTGTTAATGTCTTTTTTTCCATATAAGACTGGATTTAAACGTACCAAGAATAGATGATGAAAGTAATGCAATCAATGGAATGGCAGTTATCCCAATCAGCCAGTCGTCGGCTTCTAACGTCACTCCCTGCATATAGATTCTCACAACAAGACGGAAGATAATAGTGAATATCGCCAGCCCACATATAGTCACGACAATAGCAGTATCTGCCGCATTTCTGTTTTCGTCAAGATTGATCCCCTCCGGTGGGGGACCAAAAACAGATGTCATATTCATCTTTGCGATTTGGGTTGTGCCCCTGGAATATAGAAAAAATGAGGTTCTAGTTCAACATTGAACAGAAAGGAAGTGAAGGCAAAAGTTTCTGAGTATGGGGGTGTCATTTCTAAAGCTGGATACTATAGAATATCAGGGCAGCATCCTAAAAGGGGATAATTTCAATATACTTGTGTTGTACTTAATTCCACCGTTCCACTTTCTTCATTAGGGCAAGATCTTTCTGCACAGATTGCACGTTGTGTCGTCGGGGATGACCGTTGGGGGCGAAATGAGACATTAGCCGGAGAATCAAGCCTGACTTGGGTATATGAAGTAGATCATATATGGGTATATGAATAATATATTCCTGAAGGATTGAATTCCTTGGAAATTTTGTTCTATACTATCAATGTAAGACACCACATGGCATGGTAAACATCTGTTAGAGAAGAGACAAGAATTCTCCTTTAAAACATCAATTTATGCACATTCGTAATTTTCCAGTAGATAACTATATATCTAAGAATATCCAATAAATAAAAGCACATTCCTTTTACAAAATAAATTGACGTAGAGCGAATATCAGGCCAATAGTCGATGATTTCCTTAATTAGAAAACAAGTTCCCACTCTCAGATTCAAATCAGATTCAACCACCTTAACATTCCAACATCCCCAACAAATCAAAAGAAAATGCCCCCAAAATCTCAAGACCAGGCGGATGATAAACGCCAAGCTGCCAGAGAAGTCATCGATATCCTCCAGGAGATCTCCGACCTGTTGGTGCGTGTCCATGATTCAGGATCTAGGCTCCATTCCCTTCCCTCCATGTCGTCATTTTCTTTTTACAAAACAAAGATATACACTAACATATCGAATAGAATACAAATCTGGACCGAACAGAGCTGTCGCTTTGTGTCTCTCTCATTGAAAACGGGGTCAACCCCGATGCTTTGGCGGTACGCGTTTCCCCCGCCAAAATAGCATTCTGCACGCGTTATTCGGTGTTGAAAGGTGCCCTAGTAGCTGATTCTGCTATTATAGACTGTCATCAAGGATCTACGCAAAGAGACTGCTTCTTCAAAACGCGTGGGAAATGCTCCCGCCATGGAGTAATGGGCCTAAGGAAGATTTAACCTGCCCATGCATTTAAATGAGGTCTATTTGTGCTGGTTTTGGCGTTGAGGCCTTGTGGTTGCTACCATACAGGCCGGAGATATACCCTTTTGTTTTATTGCTTTCCAAGTACAAATACAGATTCAATTTGGTTTGGGTTTATGTAGACATTAGAAGGGGTCAGAAAATGTCTTGGGCTATCTTTACTAGGTATCGTAAACTCGCGTGGATAGTAGGTAGCGCATAGCAAGGTGAGGTATAGCAAGGTGGGTTCAGAGAATAGAACGAGGGAAATAAATATGATGGGGAGGAAACGATTCATGGATAAGTGGATTTGCGCAGATGACAGTGAGGGATATTCAATTTCCAATCGCAATTATTTTGACTCGTCGGGCTTGATCGCACCCTTAGTCTCCTGGTCCTTGGAAACTGGCTCTGGCACTGACTCGACAGTAGCATGCTTGAGCTGATCGCCCTCTGAGCCAGTGTGCTCCTTAGTCTTGGTTTCCTTCTCGTCATCGCTATCGCCGAGGCTGAATGGGTCATTCTCCGCGACGGGAGAAGGTGCGACGGCGGACAATGGCTGCCATTTGCTCGCCTTGCTGCCTGTTGAGCTGAGACGCTTGGATGGTGTGGAGGAATCGTAAAGGTTGTCAATCTCGGTGGGCGGTCCATCCTGGAAAGACACCCTGCGTCTGTCTGGCGAAGGAGATGCGGACGGTTTAAAGCTGGATTGGCCCGGACGAGGGGGGCGAGGCGGGGGAGCTGTGGCACAGTTAGTAAAATTCAAAGCCAGATTTAAGATCGGTTATTTACCTTCGCCATCCCTCAATTCGAGAGCAGAGAAATCATCGCTGAGAAGTTGGGGATCTGCGTCATAGCGCTCACGATCTCCGCTGCGACGGCCCATATCACCACTACGCCGGGGCCGGGCATTGACTGGGGTCTCTCTTTGATTCTGGATAGGTTCCTCATCCAAATCATCTCCATCAATTCTCTTCTTCAGGTTTGTTACCCATGAGTTAACCTTATTCTGTGTCTCCAGGAAGCCCTTGCGGAGGTTCTCGCGGATCACAGGTAGATCATCTGTAAACAATTAGCACGAGCCCATTCGGCAAGCCACCATAGTCCATACCATCAAAGAAACTGTATTCTCTCTCATCCGACTCCTCGCTTCCTCTAGGTCGCTGGTATCGGGGGTCACTCTCCCAGTTCGCCGGTGGTGCGCGACGTCCTGTCGCATTGTAGTGCTCCGATAGTTGACGCGCATACATCTCATCGGCTTCCAGTTGTCGCTGTGCAGCAGTGCTTTGCTGGCTTGGGCGCGGCGGCTTGGGCGGTGGTGTCATTTCCTCTTGAGCCTTGGGGTCGGTCATACCTGCGAGCAGAATTCCAGGTCAGTTTGTACTCATTTCATAAATAGTAGGTTCCGCACGAACCCAGGAGGGCATTGAACGCCCGCTCGACATTCCAATTGCTTGCGGTCAAGACCGCTTTGATAACACCAGGCTCGATGCTTGGAAACGCCTCCCTAAGGGTGTTCTCCGACTGTTCTCTCGGGTTCAGGGGCCGGGGCGGTTGTGGCGGGGCCGTCTCGGCAGCTGGCTGAGGAGCCACAGGAGAGGAAGTAATAACTCCGCTCTCTTGGGGTTCGTCGTCAAAGTCCATAGGGCGTGCAGTAGTCGGTGACTCGGCTCGGGGGCTGTTAGGGGAGTTGAGCGCAGCCAACGGCTTGGGAGTGTTCTGTGTATGAACGTGAGCCTCATGCGACAAGTGATATCCGGGAAAGCAAACATACCATCTTGTCCTCCTCTGACATATTGAAGAGCTTTCAGGATCTCAGACAGTATAGAAAGTGACTGAAAAGAAAATTACAAAAACAGTGTTGCCTGAGAACGTCTGAGAGCAGAACACATCGGGGAAGCTCCAAGTGACGTGGGGCGCACGTGATAGCGGGCGAGCTTTATACAGATCTGGATGTTTCTGTCCTCCAAGTTGCCGGCTTGAATTTTCAAGAATGGCCCAATCCTAATTTGGGTTTGAACAACTGGGCCCAGATACAGCAGAGTTTGTTCTCAGTTAAAATTTGGTCTAAGATGGCTTCAGAACAGGAGCTCTCAACCTCTTTCATTCCAGCCTTGTATAAACCGGCTGCTTTACTACCTATCGCACGTCACAAGAAAAACCTGCTTTATCTGGTTGAGAAATACCCAGTCACCATCGTGGTGGGTCAGACAGGCAGCGGGAAAACAACCCAGCTTCCGCAGTATCTAGACCAGGCAGGATGGTGCGAGGATGGGAAGACCATTGCTGTTACACAAGTGAGCACTGATCCCATCCTACTTCAAAATAGGTAACGACTAATCCTGTCTCAGCCCCGGCGAGTGGCTGCTACAACGGTTGCAACTCGAGTCGCCGAGGAGATGCAATGCAAAGTCGGTGAAGAGGTGGGCTACTCCATCCGATTTGAAGATTTGACATCCCCGGCAACAAGGATCAAATTCTTGACAGATGGAATGCTGCTTAGAGAAGCCCTAGTGGATCCTCTACTTTCGCGGTATTCAGTGATCATGGTTGATGAGGCACATGAGAGATCTCTCAGTACGGATGTGCTCCTTGGAACTCTGAAGAAGATTCGCAAAAAGCGCCCCGAACTTCGCATTATTGTTAGTAGTGCAACTCTTCAAGCAGAGAACTTTCTACATTTCTTCGCCGGCGAGGAATACAACCCTGAGGCAGAGCCGGCGGATTTGGGTGGAAGCGTTGGTCGGATCATCAGTCTCGAAGGACGGATGTATCCAGTCGACATGCTGTTCCTTGACTCTCCGGCAGAAGATTACATAGAGCGAGCAGCCAAGACCGTCTTTGATATTCATACCCAAGAAGCAGAAGGTGACATTCTCCTCTTTTTGACTGGCCGGGAAGAGATCGACACTGCGATCCAATTGATATCTGAAAGAGCGGCAACTCTCCACCCAAAGGCGCCCTCTCTGCTTACGCTTCCACTTTACGCTGGGCTCACCACGGAACAACAAATGTACGTCTTCGAGCCGACTCCAGAAAACACCCGAAAGGTTATCGTCTCGACCAATATTGCCGAGGCCTCGGTTACAATCGACGGGATCGTATATGTGATTGATTCCGGCTTCGCCAAGCTCAGAGCATACAACCCCAATACTGGCATTGATACATTAACTGTAGTGCCAATATCAAAAGCATCTGCCACCCAGCGAGCTGGCCGCGCTGGAAGGACGAAGCCAGGGAAATGTTTCCGTCTGTACACTCAACAAGCGTTCGAGCAGATGCCGGAAGCAACCGTACCTGAAATCCAGAGATCAAATCTTGCACCGGTCATTATGCAGCTCAAAGCACTGGGCATCGATAACATTGTCCGATTTGATTTCTTGACACCTCCGCCGGCAGAACTTATCATTCGTGCACTTGAGCTCCTGTTCTCTCTCGGTGCGATTGACGACTATGCCAAACTCACAAAACCGCTTGGAACTCGGATGGCAGAAATTGCTCTGGATCCTATGATGGCCAAAGTCCTTCTCACCGCGCCATCTTTCAACTGTCTAAGTGAAATTCTCACAATTGCAGCCATGGTCAACCTCCAGGGGACAGTGTGGGTTCAGCATTCCGGTGATAAAAGAACCGCCGAGAGCCACCGGCGTAAGTTCGCCGTTGAAGAGGGTGATCACTTGACGTACCTGAATGTGTACCAGGCCTTTGTCACCAAAGGGAAGAAAGACTCAAAATGGTGTCGCGACAATCTCTTGAATTACCGTGCACTGCTACGGGCTGTGAGTATCCGAGGCCAGTTAAAACGGTACCTAGAACGATTTGGCATTCAAGTCGATGAGACACTTTCATCCCGTCATGGCCCAACGGATTTGAGCAACCAGCCGGAGCAGATTCGGCGATGTCTTACGACGGGCTATTTTGCCCACGCAGCGAAGATGCAACCGGATGGAACTTTCAAGACTGTCAGCGGTGGTCTGACTCTTCATGCTCATCCCACCTCGTTGATGTTTGTAAGTGCTCATGGACTATGTGTGGAAAGGTAAATGTTTGGTTTACTGACTTGAATATAGAACCGAAAAGCCGACTGGGTCATATTTCATGAGATTATGCAAACGGGTGAAAAGACTTACATCCGCGATGTCACTAAGATTGAGAAGAGTTATCTGCTGGAGTATGCTCCTGCTTATTACCGAGTCAGGCAATGATACTTGGGAATTTAGCTAGAGATATGTACAATAATACCCAGGCGTTTTAAGAAGGCTATGGAATTGTGATACAGTATGCATTTCCTAGATCGAGGTAAACTAAGGTCATAAAGTATTTTACCTTGTAAACTTGTGATCTCTTGAAACTACAACGGTCAATTCTCCGATGTACTAAAACGACGTCACGGGAGTGGAGAGCTTCCCCAAATACTTTTTTTCAACTTCCAAATCTCAACTTATCATCTTACACTTTGTACTATCTTACTTACATTTCTTACAATGTCTCATCACCATGATCATGGTCACTGCCATGGCGAAGATCATGACCATACCAACGATATCACTCCAGCCCTCCAATCCCTCCTCTACTCTCAGATCAACTTCGACCTGATCACGACACTGAATGGTATGCACAAGCCCCGTCTAGGTAACTATTGGTGATAATTTCTAATTTTCAACAGAGGCCGCCCCGAACTCTGGCGCATCTGTCGTTCAGAAAACCTGGGCGGAGCGACTAAATGACAAGCCCGAACTTGAGAGCGATGCTGACGAACAGCTGCTCATGACCATCCCGTGAGTCTTATTCCTCAAATCCTACAATTTATGGCTGTTTCCCTTGCAACGCGTAAAGAGATTTCCATATCCCCGCTAATTTTTACCCCTCACCGTTATCGCCCCAAAACTAACCCGATATCTTCTACACAGCTTCAACGGCCAAGTCAACGTCCACTCCCTTCTCCTGTACACAGCGCCTACAAACTCCGCCCCGAA